GACAGACCATCAGGTTTTCGATCATCTGCAAACGCCATGTACAGAGGCCGCGGGCAGACTCGCAGTAGAGGGCGCGGGCGGGGGAACAGAGGGTGCGGCCGCGGCGGCGATCGTGCCTCCCCCTGTCCTTCTCGCGGTGGTGGAGGTGGCTATTAGCAAGGCGGCTATCAGCAACGCCAACAACGTCAACCTCCACAACAGCAACAGCAACAACATGAAGGGGATTACCCTGAGTGTCAAATCTGCTACAAATATCACCCCGGAGGCGCAAGGGCCTGCTGGCACCGCTATGATGAGGACCGTGAAAAAAAGAAGAAGGCCAACCTCATCACCAACTCCTACGGGATTGACACAAATTGGTATGCAGATTCTGGTGCTACCGAGCATATCACAGGGGAACTTGACAAGTTGACGATGCGAGAAAGATACCACGGAGGTGACCAAGTGCACACGGCAAGTGGAACGGGTATGGAAATTGCTCACATTGGTAACTCAATTGTTAAAACCCCTGAGAAAAACTTGCATCTAAATAATGTCTTACATGTTCCTCATGCATCTAAGAATCTTGTTTCAGTTCATCGTTTCACTCTTGACAACAATGTTCTCATAATATTCTATCCTTATTCTTTTGTTATCAAGGATTTGGCAACGAGGAGAGTCATTCTTAGGGGAAAGTGCGAGGGAGGCCTCTACCCACTCATATCATCATCTTCTTCATCATGGTCAAATAACAAGCTTGGAGTGTCACTAAACCATCTTCGGCAAAGTGGCATAGTCGTTTAGGTCATCCGTCTTCAACCATTGTTCAGCATGTCCTTAGTAGAAATAAACTTCCTTATGAGTGTGTTGAGTCAGTTTGTGATGCGTGTCAACAAGCTAAAAGTCATCAATTGCCTTATCCCATCTCTACGAGTGTATCCACTGCTCCGCTGCAACTTATCTTTTCAGATGTGTGGGGGCCAGCTCCTACTTTAGTTGGTAGATTTTCTTACTATGTAAGCTTTATTGATGATTATAGTAAGTTCACTTGGATTTATTTGCTAAAGAAACGGTCCGATGTTTTTCAAGTATTTAGCAATTTCCAAAATCTTGTTGAACGCCAATTGAACTCCAAAATTCTTGCAATGCGAACCGACTGGGGTGGTGAGTATGAGAAACTTAATTCCTTTTTTCAAAAGATTGGAATTTCACATCATGTTTCCTGTCCCCATGCTCACCTACAGAATGGCTCTGCTGAACGAAAACACCGTCATGTTGTTGAAGTAGGACTATCATTGTTAGCCAACGCATCTATGCCTCTCAAATTTTGGGACGAAGCTTTCCTTACTGCCACATATCTTATCAATATTCGTCCTAGCAAAGTTATCAAATTTGAGAATCCTGTAACACGACTTTTTGGTATTACTCCAGACTACACATCTCTTCGTATTTTTGGCTGTGCATGTTGGCCAAATCTTAGGCCATACAATACACGCAAGCTTGCGTTTCGTTCAAAAAAATGTGTCTTTCTAGGCTATAGTCCTATGCACAAAGGAGTCAAGTGTCTTGATGTCTCCACTGGCAGGGTTTACATATCTAGAGATGTTGTCTTTGATGAATCAGTTTTTCCATTCGAGTCCCTTCATCCTAATGCCGGAGCTCTCCTTCGAAAAGAAATTCTTCTCCTTCCAGATTTTGATCAAGGGGGTGATAACAATTGTGCTAACCAATCTGAAAATATTCTTGCTCCTAGTATTATGCCTGTGCAGGTGCCCGAAGAAAATAGCACACGAGATGATCAAAATCATGAAAATTTGGCTCACAACGATCTGTTATTTCATGTCAATGGAGAAGAAGAAGCCGGCGTGGAACACGAGGAAGATCCGGCTGCGTCTGCCACGCCAGTGCGCCCGCTTTCCTCGGATCGCACGCGCGGATCCCTCTTGGATCGGGCGCCATCGGGGTGCCAGCCAGGTCAGGCGGCAGCGAGCGCGAGCCACTCCGCGTCGTCCGCGTCGTCACGGGAAAACGGGCGTCCCACGCGCATGCAGCCAAAAGCAGCGACGGGACCGCCTGTGTGCATGCAGCCAACAACAAGCATGGGATCTTCTGCGGATGGATGTGTTTCAGTTTCGGCCACACCGATGGCTACAGGATCGCCTGCAGTTACACAATCTGCAGAATTGGAAGGATCCTCTGGATCTTCTGCGGCTGGTTCCCATTGCAGCCAGAATCACAGCCCGTCACTACTTCGAGGGTTATGACCCGGTTACAAAAAGGTATTAAAAATCCAAAAATAAGAAAAGATGGTACTGTTCCATATGGCATGCTATGTATTTCAGGAGAACCAACCAGATTGAGTGATGCACTTGGAGATGCTAAGTGGAAAATGGCTATGGATGAAGAGTACGGTGCACTTATGAAGAATAAGACATGGCATTTGGTACCAAGTCAAAGAGGTAAAAATATTATTGATTGCAAGTGGGTTTATAGAATCAAAAGGAAAGCAGATGGCTCCATTGATAGGTACAAGGCACGTCTCGTTGTGAAAGGTTTTAAGCAACGTTATGGTATTGATTATGAGGATACTTTTAGTCCCGTTGTAAAAGCTGCTACCATAAGACTTGTGCTAGCCATTGCAGTTTCCAGGGGATGGAGCCTCAGATAGCTAGATGTTCAGAATGCGTTTTTGCATGGTGTTCTGGAAGAGGAGGTCTATATGAGGGAACCGCCAGGGTATGAAAACAAACAAACACCTCACTATGTTTGCAAACTTGACAAAGCTCTTTATGGTCTGAAACAGTCTCCTAGAGCATGGTACTCTAGGTTGAGCTCACAATTGAAACGTCTTGGTTTTGTTGCATCCAAGGCTGATACATCTCTCTTCATTTACAACAAGGCAAATACTATCATTTTTGTGCTGATATATGTTGATGACATCATAGTTGCTAGCTCCACACAAAGTGCCACTAATGCTCTTTTGCACGATCTGAGCTCAGAGTTTGCCTTGAAGGATCTTGGTGATCTTCACTTCTTCCTAGGCATTGAAGTTAAGAAGGTTCAAGACGGCATAGTGCTGAATCAAGAAAATATGCCACTGAACTTCTAACTCGTATGGGAATGAAGGATTGCAAACCTTCACCTACACCGTTGTCTTCTTCAGAACAACTTTCAGCATATGAGGGAGAACCACTTAATGAAGAGAAGAGTACAAAATATAGAAGTGTTGTTGGAGTCCTACAGTACTTGACTTTGACACGGCCAGACATATCATTTGCTGTAAACAAGGTTTGTCAATATCTGCATGCTCCTACCTCCACTCATTGGACATCTGTCAAAAGGATTGTAAGATATATCAAACACACTGTGAACTTGGGACTTCAGTTCAGGTGTTCCAGTTCTACACTTGTTAGTGCTTTCTCCGATGCTGACTGGGCAGGATGTAGTGATGACAGAAAGTCAACTGGAGGATTTGCAGTATTTTTTGGGTCAAACCTTATTTCTTGGAGTGCCAGAAAACAAGCCACAGTGTCAAGATCAAGTACCGAAGCTGAATACAAATCATTGGCAAATGCAACTGCTGAAATTATTTGGGTAGAATCGGTACTCAAGGAGTTGGGAATTAAGCAACATCGTGTTTCATGTTTATGGTGTGATAATTTGGGAGCCACCCATCTTTCTGCTAATCCAGTGTTTCATGGTAGAACCAAACACATTGAAATTGATTTTCATTTTGTTCAAGAAAGAGTGGCAGAGAAGAAGCTGGATATAAGGTTTATTCCATCCAAGGATCAAATAGCAGATGGGTTCACTAAAGCCTTGCCGGTCAAGCCTTTTGAAGAGCTCAAGAGAAATCTCAACATAGGATAGTTTAGATTAAGGGAGGGTGTTAGAGTTTAAGTTATTCACGCAATGTAATCTTAACTATCCTCCCTTGTATCTGTATCTATCTCTCCCTCGATGTAATGACCGGTTCGGTCTCCCCTTCTCTTGTACTCTACGGCAAGGATTTCTGCCTCAATAAATATACATACGCGGCTCTCCTTCGGGAGAGTAGAAACGCTTCATCAATTCTAATAACCAGGACAACTTTCAATCTGAAGGAACTGGAGAGATGTGTATGACTGCGGTCCATCCGGTAGGGATGACAGCGTTTTGCAATTTTTGATGTAAAGCCTCTCCAATGATGGGAACTCTCCTGAGTGAGATTCCACTGATCTCAACTCACAGCACCGAGAAACTGCAATTAGCTTGAGGGACGGAGGAAGATCGAGGACCCCTGTTAAACTGTCACACCCTTCTATGCCTATATGTTCTAAACATGGACAGGGAAAATGTTCCACCCTGGCTACGGCTGATGATGATAGCACCACTGAATGTACAGGTGACCCTTGCAGAATCCATGATGCTGACTCTCCCTGTTGCAGACTCCTGCTGAGTATGGACTTGAGCTTACTGCAGTCCTCAATTCTCATTGTCCTCAGGGATGTAGGGATGCAGGGAGTTTGAAGATCTCTACGAGAGACCCGAGATGTGGCAGGGGCTGACTTGAGTGTTCTGATACTATTGATGGCTCAGCTGCAGGAGCATCTGCGCATCCAACCAGTTGTTTGCAGTCCCAAATCTCTAGACTCCTCAAGGATACCAAGCATTGGAACTCTTTCTCTGGCCAGTAGACAAGCCCAGGACAACGACTAATGCACAACTGCTGAAGCTGTTTAAAACATGCACATAGCTCGGTTACACCTGACTTCAAGCCATTTAACTTCATATCTGCCAGAGGGAAATCATGATGATTCTCTTTTTCCATGACGTCCATTACTTGTTTCAAACTATGATCAACCGCTGTAGAGGTTCTTTCCGTGTCTTCACGGTTCTGCAGTTCCAAACTGGTCAGTGAAGTCATATTTCTAGCCACCCACAGAAACATATCTTCCTTCCTTCCCTCAATGTCTAACACTGTCAGCTTTGGCGATTTAACATTCATTGTAAGCTTTGGACAACCTGTAACACACAACTTCTCAAGGCGAGGAAATATTATCTTGTTCCTTATCTGTTATTTCACACAAACGTTCCAAACATTCCAGACCTTGTAGTGTAAACACCTTCAGATTTGGAAAAGTGAAGGATGTACCACAACTGAATAACCATTGAAGTTTCTTACAATTGGAAAGATGGATCTCAACCATCTTTAGCAAGATAGCCATCCATGTTGGAAAGGTGGTGCCTCCATAGGATTCTATCTTTATAGCCTGCAGCTCATCATGAGGTTTGAGACCCTCGAGCACTCTTGCATCATCCCTACCACCAACGGTCCATTTAAGTGACATTTCTTGAAGTTCCTTCTTGTTTTTGAGATTTGCTGCTTTTGCATCTTCTTCTGTCACATTCTCTAGTTGATGCAGCTGTAGCTCACCACCAAGGTTTAACTGTTGCAACTCTCCAACACCACTGCACTCAGAGCCAGTAGAACCTGCTACAAAACATGTAAGTGTCTGTAGTGATAGGAGTTTTTGGAGGTCAGCAGGCATGTTCCTCATCTCTGGACAATTATGAGTGTAGAGATGACGGAGGGCAGTCATATACTTCATTTGCCTTGGAAGCCGACAAAGTTTATGGCAGCCAGAGACATTCAATGTTTGCAGGTTGTATAGAATGCTTATATCTTCAGGAAGTGCTTCGATATAACTCCTTGAGAGATCAAGGTACCTTAGGTAATGCAGATGCTTTGATTTCAAGGGGAATGACCTGCTCCATGTACGGAGCTGTAATGCCTTCAAAGAGCTGTATTTTGATGGATGCCACAGTGGACGTATCATTTTCCTATCACATATAAGTGTCTGGATTGCTGGGGATATTTTTGCTAGAGATTCATTCAAAATGATTTGTGGTTCTTCACAATACAAAAGTAAGTGGCGAGCTGTATCTGGAAGCCACTCAATCTGCCCTGGTTTCTCAGGTGCGAGAGCACATTCTTTTTCCATTGTAGATAGTGCAACATCATGCATCAGATCGTGGATTTTACATGTATGTTTACAATAATTATGCCTCCCCAAGCGCTCATTAAATGAGACTCGGACTTTCTTCACATCCACAAAAAATGACCTTGAGGCCAGCTCACTGAAAATCCATTGGCCAATTATCTCAGGGCGGACTTCTTTTTGTTCCTGAATAAAGCCATGTGCGATCCATAGTTGGATCAGCTTGTCCACATCAATTTCATAATCCTTGGGAAACAAAGCACATAAAGAAAAGCACTGCTTCATCTGCGATGACAAGTCATTGAAGCTGAGCTTGAGTATTGGTAATATTCCAGACCCCTCGGTGCAAATGCTGCTTCTGATTGCTATAGCCTTCCATTCTTCTTCGCTGGTCTTTGTACGCAGCACAGAGCCCAGTGCTGTTGCGGCCAATGGAGAGCCACAACATCTCTTCACAATATCGCCAACTATTTTCACTAGTTTGGCAGGCCTTTCTTCTTCCTTAAGCAAACCGAATGCTCTTGTCTCAATCATTTCCTTTATGAAGTCATCCTCCAACTTTGCGAGATCGTAGGGTTTCACTGAACCCATTATTTTTGCGACACCTCCATCCCGAGTAGTTGTCAGGACCACACTACCCTTGGCACCATGTGTAAGGCGGGCCTTGAGCTTTTCCCACTTATCGCTCTCTCAGTTCCAGACGTCATCCAATACAAGGAGATACCTAGACCCGCTTAGTCCATCTTGAAGCCTATCCAGTGAGCTTTTCTTGGAGTCTGAAACACCTGTGCTTTTTTGGGGAAGACATTCAAGAATACTTCTAGCCAGAGATTCCACCTCAAAGTTGTCAGAGACACAAACCCATATCAACAACTCGAAATGCTTTTGAATTTCAGGTTCATTGTAAATGAGCTTCGCTAAGGTGGTCTTGCCTAGCCCCCCTACTCCAACGATGGGAAGAACCATGAGATTTTCATTGCTAGCATGACCAAGTAGTGTATCAACAATATTCTTAGTATCTTGGCTTCTCGATCTGCTGATGATTTCCTTTGGATCAAAGATAACATGATCCGTCTGCCTCCACTGCTGGGACTTCAGATATATGGATCTCGACCATGTTTAGCAAGATAGGAATCCATGTTGGAAAGGTAGCACCTCCGTAGGATTCTATCATTCTAGCCTGCAGCCCATCATGAGGTTCGAGACCCTCGAGTACTCTTGCGTCATCCCTACAACCAACGGTCCATTTTAATGACAATTCTTGAAGTCCCCTCTTGTTTTTGCGATTTGCAGATTTCTTCCGCCACATTCTCTAGTTGATGTAGCTGTAGCTCACCACCAAGGTTTAACTGTTGCAACTCTCCAACACCACTGCACTCAGAGCCAGTAGGACCTGCTACAAAACATGTAAGTGTCTGTAGTGACATGAGTTTTCGGAGCTCACCAGGCATGTTCCTCATCTTCATACAATTATGAGTGTGGAGATGACGGAGGGCAATCATATACTTCATTTGCCTTGGAAGCCGACGAAGTTCACCACAGCCAGAGACATTCAATGTTTGCAGGTTGTATAGAATGCTTATATCTTCAGGAAGTGCTTCGATATCACTTCCCGAGAGATCAAGGTACCTTAGGTGATGCAGATGCTTTGATTTCAAGGGGAATGACCTGCTCCATGTATCGAATCGCAATGCCTTCAAAGAGCTGTATTTTGATAAATGCCGCAATGGATGTAGCATATATCTATCACACAGAAGTGTCTGGATTGCTGGAGATACTTTTGCCAGAGAATCATTCAAAATAATTTCTGGTTCTTTACAAGACAAAAGTAAGTGGCGAGCTGTATCTGGAAGCCACTCCGTCTGACCTGGTTTCTCAGGTGCGAGAGCACATTCTTTTTCCATTGTAGATAGTGCAACATCATGCATCAGATCATGGATTTTACATGTATGTTTGGAATAACTATCCCTTGTCCAGTGCTCGCTGAATGAGACTCGGACATGCTTCACATCAACAAAGAATGACCTTGAGGCCAGCTCATTGAAAATCCGTTGGCCAATTGTCTCAGGACGGACTTCTTCTTGTTCCCGAATAAAGCCATGTGCGATCCATAGTTGGATCATCTTGTCCACATCAATTTCATAATCCTTGGGAAACATAGCACAGAAAGAAAAGCACTGCTTCATCTGCGATGACAAGTCATTGTAGCTGAGCTTGAGTATTGGTAATATTCCAGACTCCTCGGTGCAAATGCTGCTTCTGATTGCTATAGCCTTCCATTCTTCTTCACTGGTCTTTGTACGCAGCACAGAGCCCAGTGCTGTTGCGGCTAACGGAGAGCCACGACATCTCTTGACAATATCACCAACCATTTTCGCTAGTTCGGCAGGCCTTTCTTCTTCCTTCTGCAAAGCGAATGCTCTCGTCTCGATAATTTCCTTTATGTAGTCATCCTCCAACTCTGCGAGATCGTAGGGTTTCACTGAACCCATTATTTTTGCGACACCACCATCTCGAGTAGTTGTCAGAACCACACTACCCTTGGCACCATGTGTAAGGTGGGCATTGAGCTTTTCCCACTTATCGCTCTCTCGGTTCCAGACGTCATCCAACACAAGGAGATACCTACACCCGCTTAGTCCATCTTGAAGCCTATCCAATGGGCTTTTCTTCGAGTCTGATTCAAGAATACTTTTTTGGGGGAGAAATTCAAGAATACTTTTAGCCAGGGATTCCACCTCAAAGCTGTCAGATACACAAACCCATATCAACAACTCGAAATGCTTTTGAATTTCAGGCTCATTGTAAATGAGCTGGGCTAGGACGGTCTTGCCTAGCCCCCCTACTCCAACGATGGGAAGAACCATGAGATTTTCACTGCTAGCATGACCAAGTAGTGTAGCAACAATATTCTTAGTTTCTTGGCTTCTCGATCTGCTGATGATTTCCTTTGGATCGAAGATAACATGATCCGTGTGCCTCCACTGCTTGGATGCTAGTGCTTGTTGCTGATATTTAAACCCAAAAGCATTCATCTCAGCCACAAGGACCTCAATGTCTTGTACAACCTTGCATAGCTTCTTCCCCATCTTGTCGCGGAACACAAAACGGTTGTGGGTGGGAAAGAGCTTTACTGCATCAAATCTGAGCTGCCTGTAGTGCTCGTTCTTCTTGGCCTCACGACGGAGCGCCTCGTAGTTGAACTCGTCGAAGACATCATTCGCCTCGTAAGCCACCCTCTTGACCTCCTCGAGCCAGGCCATGGCCCCGTCTCTGTGGGAGGCTGCCTGCTCAGCGTCGGTGATGACGTCCATGATGGCACGCAGCCTGCGCTTGAGCACCCTGTGTTGCTCCTCCATGCCCTTCATCACCTTGTACTTTTCCAGCAGGTAGCTGGAAGCCTTGTCCTTCACAAGTGACAGTAGTGGCCCGACCACCATGGTGGCCACGAGCTCTGCCGGCATCTTGTCACCGGGAACTATAGCTACAGCCCAGGACGGCATAGAAGAAAGTGGTGGTGTGAGGAAGCCAGACGTGCAGATGCATGGTTCTGAGCAGAAACAGGGGTAAAAATGAGTACCTTGGCGCTGAACATGAAGAGGAGGTCAAAGAGTTGCGCCAAAGCCAGCAGCACCGCGTTCTGATTCACACCTCCAGCAGCACAGGATTCTGATTATGGGAGCAGGGGATTTTTTGGGGTAGTGGATTGAGTAGCGTTCTATGGGTTCGAAGCTATGCTGCTGCTAGTACTCAGGAAGCCCAAAATCAATGTACACCATACAGAGGGAAATCTTATCTTGGCCAATAGTTTGCATGGTGACAAAAATATTTGAGTGCTACGTTTGTGATGGCCAAATTTCCAATGATAACCGACTGGCAATTTATAACCATCTAATATATGTGATACGCCTATCTTTCATTGGTGTGCGTGCGAGCGGAAAACGACTTACGCTAGTCGAGGGCAACGTGATGTTTATATATATCAGGGGAGCCTAGCCAATCGGCTTGTACATGCGGTCAAGAAAGAGATAGAGATAAGAGAGATCTAAGATACATCTTGGGAGACAAGAAAGGAAGATTGTTACAAGAAGATCTATGCAAACTACCTCCTGAACTTATCTCTAGCATGCACCGAATCATATATCTCCTGCCGCATGTAACGTGACACATAATGATGTTTAACACCCCCCCTTAATCACAACTTCATCAGGTTGAGATTATGCTTAAATTCTTCAAAGTCCCGCATAGGCAGGGCCTTAGTAAACCCATCTGCAACTTGATCTCTGGAATGAATGAACCAAATATCAAGTTGTTTCCGTGCAACTCTTTCTCTGACAAAGTGAAAATCTATCCCTATGTGCTTTGTTCTGGCATGAAAGACTGGATTTGCAGACAAGTAGGTGGCACCAAGATTATCACACCACAGACATGGAGCTTGTGAGCTTCGTATGCCAAGTTCCTTCAACATTGACTGAACCCATATGATGTCAGCTGTGGCATTTGCTAATGCCTTATACTCTGCCTCTGTGCTAGATCGAGACACTGTGGCTTGCTTCCTTGCACACCACGAAATCAAGTTTGGTCCAAAAAATATGGCAAATCCACCAGTAGAGCGTCTATCATCCAGACAGCCTGCCCAATCAGAGTCAGAGAAGGCACTAACAAGAGTTGAGGATGACTTGCTGAAACTAAGACCAATGCTCAAGGTATGTTTGATATATCTGACAATGCGTTTTGCAGCACTCCAATGCACAGTGGTAGGAGCATGCAAAAACTGACATACCTTGTTAACAGCAAAAGAAATATCAGGCCTGGTTAAAGTCAAGTACTGAAGTGCACCTACTAAGCTCCCGTATTTTGTACTGTCCTCTTGATTCAAGAGTTGCCCTTCTGTGAGAGACAATTTTTCTGAGCTGGACAATGGAGTGAAGGATGGTTTACAACCTTGCAGACCTGCCTTTCTTACCACATCAGTTGCATACTTCTCTTGAGAGAGGTGAAGTCCATCCTTGTGTTTCTTCACTCCAATCCCAAGAAAGAAATGCAAATCTCCAAGATCCTTGAGAGCAAATTCGGCACTTAAATCCTTCAACAATGATGCAATGGCCTCACTGGATGAACTTGTAACAATAATGTCATCAACGTAGATGAGAACAAATATGCATGTGTTGAGCTTATTGTAAATAAACAGTGAGGTATCTGACTTGGAAGGAACAAAACCAAGTGATTGCATCCTGTGACTAAGACGTGAGTACCATGCTCTTGGTGCTTGCTTCAAGCCATAAAGTGCTTTATCAAGTTTGCACACAAACGAGGGATTAGACTTACTCTCAAACCCAGGAGGCTGTTTCATGTACACCTCTTCTTCCAGAACACCATGAAGGAACGCATTCTGTACATCTAGCTGCCTGAGAATCCATCCCCTACAGACAGCAATAGACAGAACAAGACGAAAAGTAGCAGCTTTTACGACCGGACAGAAAGTGTCCTCATAATCAATCCCATATCTCTGTTTAAAACCTTTGGCAACAAGCCTTGCCTTGTATCTGTCAACAGTTCCATCAGATTTTCTCTTAACTCTGAACACCCACTTGCAGTCTATGAGATTTTTACCTTGCCGTGGGGGAACTAGATAAAATGTTTTATTCTTCCTCAATGCCACATACTCTTCCATCATTGCTTTTCTCCATTTTTCATCTCCAAATGCCTCATCCAAAGTTCTTGGTTCAGCATGTTCAACATGTGTATCTGTAGAACAAACGAGACCATATTTGCTCATATGTTTATAATTAAGAGGTTGAGTTACACCTTTTTGCAACCGTGTGAGACGCCGAGACGCTGCAGAGTTAGCCGGTGCAGAAGATCCGGGGATCCGGTCGCGCACAGGAGTTCCAGCGAGCGATCCCGAGATAGATTCGCCTGCCAGCCGCACCGGATCCTCTGTGGCTTCAGTAGTTGGCGAAGCGGTTGCAGCATCCACAGAAGATCCAGACGCACCGGTCGGCTCATCATGAGCCCATGATGGCGCGGGGCCACTCGGATCTGCATCGGATCCCGCTCCCTCCTGGCTGGATGGGCCCGCGCTGGAGTCCGCGCCGGTCGGTCGCAGCTAGGCTCTGGAATCCGCGCCGGTCGTCCGTGCCTGGGCCCGCCTTTGGTAGCACTGCGGCTGGTCACGAAAACGCGCCCCACCTAGGCCATCGAGGCGCCGCCACATGGCGTCTGGTGATTGGCGCGGGGCTGCCGCCACCCGCAAGCTGGCTCGTGGCAGGCGCGGGGCCACGGAAACCCGCACGCACGGCAGATTCCGGGGCAGACGAATCTGGCGCGTCTGCTGGCGCTGATCCTGGCGCAGATTTCCTGGCCGCCGCCTGATCCGGTGTTGATCCCGAGGGGGATTTTCTCCCCGATTCCGGACACAGCAAATATGGCGCTTGAAGGCCGAGTTCCTCGTCATTTTTGTCGCTGATTATTCCTGCATCATCACCAGAAGACTCGTCCGGACCATTAGGAGGGTTAGTCGGCATTGAATCATCACAAGAATTTCCCCCATGATCAAGGCTGGTGAGATGAGATGGCAAAAGAAGAATCGCTTTGCGAAGCAAGGCTCCTGCGTTGGGATGAAGATCAGCAAACGGGAATTTTGTTTCGTCAAAAACAACGTCACGGGAGACATAAACCCGTCCTGTAGACACATCAAGGCATTTTACACCTTTGTGTTGAACACTATATCCGAGAAATACACACTGTTTTGACTGAATAATGAGTTTTCGTTGATTGTATGGACGAAGATTGGGCCCACACGCACACCCAAAAACACGGAGAGATGTATAATCAGGTTTGGTGTGGAGGAGTCGTTCTACTGGAGTTTCGTTATTAATCACACGACTGGGAAGCATGTTGATGATATGAACGGCAGTGAGAAAAGCTTCATCCCAGAATTTAAGAGGCATGGAGGCGCCAGCTAAAAGAGCTAAACCGACCTCAACAATGTGCATGTGCTTGCGTTCAGCTGAGCTATTTTGTTGGTGAGCGTGGGGGCACGACACATGATGAGAGATGCCGAGTGTTTGAAAAAAGGAGTTTAATTTCTCATATTCTCCGCCCCAGTCTGATTGGACAGCAAGTATCTTGCTATCAAACTTGCGTTCAACGAGTGCTTGGAAATTTTTAAAGACCTGAAAGACATCGGATCTTTTCTTAAGTAGATAAATCCAAGAGAATTTGCTATAGTCATCAATGAAACTCACATAGTACATATGTCTACCAACTGAGTTTGGGGCAGGACCCCAAACATCTGAAAAAATTAATTGCAGTGGTTTGGTAGACACACTAGTGGATATAGGATAGGGTAGCTGATGACTCTTAGCACGTTGACATGAATCACAAATAGTTTCAATATTGCGCTCACCAACAAACGGGAGTTGATTCTTTCTAAGTAATTTTTCAACTAGGCAAAAAGAAGCATGTCCTAAATGATCATGCCATCGTGTGGATGAAAGCTTGATAGCACCACAAGCTTGTTTATTTAGTCTCCTAAGCTCCGGAATCAACGGGTAGAGCCCACGGATGCATCTACCTCGATAGAGAATTTTCTTCGTCACCTGATCCTTGATCAAAAAGAAAAAGGGGTGAAATTCAAGGAAGACATGATTGTCAAGAGCAATTTTATGGACAGAAAGAAGACTTTTGTCGGCATTAGGAACATGCAAAATTTTCCTAAGATGAATTCTACGGGAAGGGGTACTAAAACTTGAATGACCAATGTGACGGATCTCCATACCTTCACCACTAGTTGTGTGGATTTGGTCCTTGCCGCGGTACTTCTCCTTCATGGTCACCTTCTCGAGCTCGTTGGTGATGTGGTTGGTGGCGCCACTGTCGACATACCAGTTGGTGTCGATTCTGTAGGAACCATCTGCGGCCGCCGCCACCTTGTCATCATCTTGAGAGGAGTCATCATCCTCTTCATAGCGGTACCAGCAATCTTTTGTTGTGTGTCCCACCTTGCCACAGATCTGGCAACGCGGAGCATCGGGGCGTGCACGAGGGTTGCCACCGCCGCGGCGAGTTTTGTTGGAGTTGCGCCCGCCGTTGCGGGAGTTGGAGCCGCCACCGTTTCCTCCACTGGACCTCCCCCTGCCACGGGAGAAGCCGCCGCCACCGCCGCGCCTGGATAAGCCACCATGACCACGAGACGCCGAGTTTGCGGAGGACTTGAAGCCGCCGCTGCTGTTGCCGTGGAAATGTGCCATCCGCTGCTCAAAGTTTGACAGCATGGCGAAGAGCTCGTCGATGGTGACTGGCGTGACGCGAGCATCCAGGGCATAAATCAGCGGCTTGTAGTCGGCGTCGAGCCCGTGGATGATGTAGGAGATGAGCTCGTCGTCGAGGATGGCCTTGCCCACCGCAGCCAGCTCATCGGCATAGCCGCGCATGTTTGCGAAGTAGGTGGCGACGGAGA